TGTGCACTTAGTATCTATTATTCATCCTAAACCACAAGGCTGTATCAGCCACGTGAAGCTGATGATCATCGCCATGTGCATTTTTGACAGCTGGTCACACGTTTCTGCTCACAGCTCAGAAATAGAAAGAACACAGCTTTAACACGATGTTTAAATACTCATTTATCTTTCCAAAAGCCATTGCGGAAAACGTGTACTGCAGGTGCTACTGAATACTGCATGTACACAATATTATCCCACTAACAAGGTAATAATGTTCTGAAGCTCTTGTTTGCTGTGAAGTTGATTTGACAAAGAAGCACAATGTTATTCATGCCGTCTTTGAGAATGTTAATTTAGGTCTGTAATAATTTATGAGAAGCCTGCGTTTTCATTGTGCTTAGAGGTCAGGCTTACAGTCATACAAAATGCCTCTGCAGCACTTTCGAAGCTAAAACTTAGGAAGTTAAAGTCCTTTGGTTTTCTTGCTTTCTAAGCTTAGTGGAATACAACACAAGTTTCTCTCACAGTATATGGAGTGCATCACAGTTACACTGATGTGCAGCACTGCTGGAGGCGTTGTCCTCTGGAAGCATCTGGGATCAAATCTTGGCAAGCCCTTTAGATGCTTCTCGAGATAATGCAAACTGTCAGCATATTAGGAATTCAACATAACAGAGATTTCATAGCCAGGAATACATGGCGACTTCCTGAGAATCTGTGTTAAATTAGAAAAACATGAAAGACCTTTCGAAATGCGTGTGATATGAAGACACGGGGTTCAAAGGTTGTTTCAAGTACAATGCTTAAGATTTAGAATAAAATCACTACACGTGTAGCAAACAATGAGCAACATTCTTAACCATCCTAAGATGGATATTAATAATATTCTCTAATGGAGACGGATGTCCTGTCAGGAGAAACGAGGGAATGCCGAGCTCTCGTCTGCCACACCGTATTACATGGATGTAAACAGAAGTGGATTGGAAAGCATGGCTGTCCTTAATTAATCTACTCAAAACTGTCGTACTAAACATTTTGGGATCAACGGATTAAAAAAAATGGATAACCTCACCCTTGCATATGGCTGCAATGTGAAATATGTCTTAGTCTGTCATAAAAATCTGTCGGTCCATGGAGTATTAGAGCGCATAATTCTCACAAGATAAATCTGGCAACCAGCATCTGAAGACCACATTTATCACAAGACTCTGGACAGCAGAGTTTGCAGCTGCAACATCAATGTTACACAATAGTGTCAGATCACAAAACAAAATTGTGTATAACAACGTGATTCAAGTTTTACCTTAAACTTCAAAACATTAAACGTTCAGTTATGAAAAACAGAAGGCAAGCAAATTCTCACATTTGACAAACTAGAAATGACAATTTTTTTTTTAACCTTTCAACAAGAATTTAAATGATATATCCATGTTCAGAGTTGTTGGTTTCCCATTTGATTCTCATTCAGAGTCAATGGATCAATCAAGTGCTGATCAGTAGTTCTACCATTAAATATTTGGGGAGCTTGGACTCTGCTAAAGCAAGTAGGATACTGAAAGAAACTCACAACTCCATGTAAGCCAGGAGTTTGTTCAGATGCTTTACAATTCTTGCGAGCAATGTGCAATTAGGAATATAGAGGTGGTTGTTTTATTGCCAAAAGCTAATAAGCAGCGTAATGGCTGTTAGTAATATTTTCCTGCGTGTACATGGCGCTGAGGCTTTAGCTCAACTCAATACTCTCATTGTAATACCTACAATCAGCGGCTTAGCAGTATAAAATAAGTTTCCTTTTGGAAAGGATTTCCAGCTCTGTGGTTGTGGTCTAACTTCTGTAATTAATATTTCCACAACACGCCTCCTCTTCTTACTCGCTGACTGTTTAAACGCATTGTTTGAAAAGCCAACACTAGGATACCAGTGATCTAACAAAAATCCAGCCGTGGTTGTGAAGTTACAATTCAAACCACTGTAGTGCAAAAGGTAGTAGCAAGTTTACATTTCAGTGAATGGTTGGCGTTAGTATGATCACACTGATCTCTGTATGTTATTCACTTGGCACTAAGCAAAAAACACTAGACTGCCTTCAGTATTTACTTTGCACCAATTTGCAAATGAATGAAGAGTTATGTGCAAGTGGGATGGAAATGAATAATTCAAAAAGAGCACTTATGAGGGTTAGATTATGCGCATCTCGAGAAATCAACTTTGCTTGGTAGTACATTTCTGTACACGCATGAAGAACAAAGTCATGGATTGTACCAAAAGCCAACAAATTACCATAAAACTGTGCAGGGATTCTTTCATGAGCAGAGTTGTTGGACTGCTTCATGCTGGTCTAACATTTGAGATCTTTGAGATGCAAAGTTAACAACTGTTGACGCAAGCCAGAGGGGAGAAATGTTAAGTGCAACTTTACAACAAAAATAAGGGGGCAGAGAAAGGGTGAGGTCTCTGTGCAGGCATGTCATACATGCAGCTTGCACTCAAGTTACCACCTCGAAGGAAACCCTGAGGCCAAGCTGCTGGGTGCTCATAAAGATGGTCGTTTGATTTCCGTGGTTCTCCACTTTCATTGTTATGGAAAGGTTCTGTAAACACTGGAAGAATACCTTCCAAACACATGTAGGGAAACCTGCTCCTTTTTAAGCTTTTAGGCCATCCACAAATAGGTGCTCACCATAACAAACCAAACAACCCCCCAAAATGTGCAGGATCTTTTAAATATTGAGATAACTCAAGAAATATTGGGAATTTTAACTAAAAACTATACTGCGCGAACAAACAAAACTCAAAGGGCACCCACCTTATTCCTTTTGAAGGTATGCTGAACAGACCTGTGGCGTTTAAATCCATCCACAATGACTTCTATGAACATTTAAAGATACATTTTTTCTTCTGTCACCTTTGAAACTGACTTAATTCCAAAGACAGATATGAACAGTGTTGTTTATCATCATGTAACAGGGCAAAAAAGGGCATAATTTGCATTGAAAACTAGCACTGTGGTATTTAAATCAAGTTTCCCCTTCCTGATACCTTTCATCTCTAAATGTATGCCTGATGTGGTTTGGGCTTGTTTTATTGGATGTCATTCAGCATTTTTTTGATACCTGAAAACTAGTTGATCCGTTTTTTTCCTCCTCTTTAATACTTGCTACAACTTGAAGACTGCATTTGCATGTGGATCTGCAGCATGTATGTGCTTATAAGCTGTCGTGGCAATTGTGAATTTAAGTGTACTTCACAAACCCTGGATGTTCAAAGGTTCAGCTGCACATCAAGTGACGCAACAACACATCACTGTTAGCCATCCTGTTACTGTAACTTCAGTCTTTATAAAAGTTATTTTCCGCTGTGTATTGTAACAGTTAAGATGTTATTGCTGGTATTATCTTTACAAGTGCTTCCATCACTTGCACAGTAGGCAGTGTCTTGGCTCCCAAGACATAGGAGCTGCTGACTAAGAAGCTGCACCACAACCAAATAGGGTGAGATATTTTTTTATGAGCCCGTGTTTCTCCTGATAGCATGAACTGCAAAAACACGTTGACTAGTAGTAAATTAATAGTAATCACTATCTATCTATTTTCTCTCCATATATATGAAATCTGATGCGGCTACAGACCTACACAGTGACAAGACAGGAAGTAACACTTTCAGCAGCAGTCTATGGCAGTGACGCTGCAACAAACGTGACATAAGGTCATTGGAGTACACAAATGAGCTGCCGCTTTTCAGTTGAGTCACCTGCATACAGTCTGTTTACTAAGGTGTAGTCTCATTACACCAACAAACAGCGCTGGATCAGTGATGTGCTGTGCTTCATGCAACAATGTACCGCACTCAAATCACACGCTTCTTATTTTCGAAACTGTCCAAATGACCACGGAGGTGCTCCAAAACCTGCAAGGTGTCAAGGCGGGCATCTTGCCCGCTCTGCACGTCTTGCATAATTTGTTCGTGCTGATGCATTCATACACTGGGCTCGAACGGCTGGACATGCATGTTAACCCAGCTGCGTGTCTCCCATCATTCAGGCACAGCACATGACTGTTTGCACCCCCAAAACAACCGAGGTGAGACTGAATTATTGGGCATCAGATGCACAACACTCCGCGCACAAAAAAAGCCGCATCTTGCCCGGCTCGACTGCTGGACCGCACCGCCAGCTTCAGTGCGGCAGCGTCTGTCACCTCCGATAAACTTGTATGATTGAGTGATGCGATCATGCGTGGAGACGGCGCTAGGACCACGCGGGAGTTTGATCGGATATCGAGCCGATTTTTCCTTCTAATGATGCGGACGGCGTGGTAAGCCGGGTCTCCTTACCTGTCTCCGGCTCGGTCATGATTTGCCCGCTTGCGCTCTAACATTGAAATCCCCATGTTTCACACACCGGTAATGCCCATCCATGTCTCACTATCCAGTCGCTTCTCCAAGGTCTGCCTGTCCACGGACCATGCGTGTTGTTTCCACACCGCTGAGAGGGGCGGAGCCCACGGTCCTTGGAGACGGAGTACAAGTGGATCATGAGAATGCCACTTATGTTTTCTCACAGCCAATCGGCTGTGCAGCTTCGAATTGACGTCCAGCGACTTTGTCCACTAAATGTTTTGGTGTACAAAAAGAAAATAATAAGAACCGGAGACCATAAAAAAAGATCTTTGCGCATTTCTCCTTATTGCAAAATGCTTGCGCGTCTAGCGCCTGGAGGTCTTTCTGTGTAAGCAAATCTATGCGAGGTGATATGTGATGGAGACTGAACTCTGTTTAAGCAGTGTAAGCAACCATCAGTCATTATCACTGTCGAGATTTCATAGCTAAAATCTGCAAATTCGTGACCAGTTGTAATAAGACAGGCGCCAAGGTATGAAACAAACTCCTTTAAAACAAATATCACAATATCACTGCGTGCGCCTTTCTAAAGGTTCCTGAAATTTCTGTTATGTTAAAACCCCTCATGCAGGACAATTTATTAACAAAATAAGTTTGATCAACACAAATACATCACATGATCAAATGGCAGTAACTCTTTAATATTCACTCCACATGATCCTACAAGGTGTGACCTTAGGAAACAGGGTGTACTCTACCCTCTACTGGCAGGAATGAAATATTCTTCACATGACAACCTTTTTTTTCTCCATGTGAAGACTTAAATATCAACGTAGTACAAAGGCAGTCTACTAAAAACAAAATACCAAAAATGTTATATAGTTTTCTTCCATACACAAAACTCTGATAAAGGAATATGCTCAAAAATACAGACATTGCCTTTGTTTGTACCTGCACCTACCAATTAAAGACTCAACCATAAACTCCACAACTTTTAGGTATACAAAAAAAAAAAAACCCCAGCTACAAGCAATTACATTATTTACAGCAACAAATCTCTTGGTTGATGAACTTAAAGAAGTTGGTATCACATCACAAAATAGTGTATTCCTTTTCATTTTGGACGCTAGGAAAGGGATCTGGTGCAGTGACGATTTGAAACAGTTTTTTTTAATGCACCACTCACAGATAACAGCAGTCTTTGTCACAGTGGTTCCACATAAACCCCGCTCCTTTCCGTAGGTTCATTAGTCCTCTTGCATTTACCACCTCCCTCTGTGAAAAGGTGGACACCCAAATCCAGGCCTCCCATTTCGGAACTGCCTTCCTTCCCTGTCATTTATGCTCTCGGGTCCCATGGAAGGATGTCGATGGAAAGGGGGACCGCGAGGAGGGAACGGCATGGGCATTCTGAACCTGTCTGATGGAAACATGGGTCCTCCTGGAATCATCTGCGGGGGCATTTGTGGCATGCTTGGAGGTGAGAGGAAAGGAGGCATATGAGGATTTGTCATGCAGGGAGGCGGTTGCAGAGGTGGCATACCCGGGCTGTGTCCCTGCATGATAGCAGGGTTCGGCAGGGTCATTACTGGTGATGTGGGATGCCCCAGCTGGTTGGCAGTCATGACATCAAGAGAAGCACCTTTGTTTCCTTTAGGATCTTCTGTGGATATCTCTGGAGATTTTATACTTCCTGTTGCAAAAGAGTTTAAGATAAGGTTGTACTGATTTTCAAACAGAAATGAAGTATAATTGCAGCAGGGAAAAAAAAGAGAAAACATTTAAAGAAATGCAGCATAGATCTGACTATATTTTTACTAAATTTAAACACAATCTACTTTGACTGCCTCTGAATCTTAGGTTTAGATAACAGATTTTAAAATCCATAGCATTTAGCGAAGATTTCTCACCGGCTGCCAACTTTATTGGATCAAACTCTGTGGGGATGAAAGGAACTCCTGCTGGAGGCATGGATGTAGGAGATAGCATAATAGGGCTTGGGAAGACAGGCGAACTTCCGATGAGTTCTGTCTGTTGAACTGGTGGTAACTGGAAGACAAAGAAATATAATGGTATCCTTAAAATTAATGTAAATGAAAAAGATAATCTTCCTGATGTGACCTTAAAGATTTTTTTTTTAATTCAATTCAATTTTACGTGTATAGCGCCAAATCACAACAACAGTCACCACAAGGTACTTGCTGTTATATGGTAAAGACTCTACAATAATAGAGAGAAAACCCAACAATCAAACGATTCCCTTTAAGCAAGCACTTGGTAATAGCGTGAAGGAAACACTCCCTTTAACAGGAAGCAACATCTGATTCTGGTTCAGCATCTTCTGATTCCATAGCATAATGTTGCTCATTGATAACACCCACTGGTATTCTTTTGGTGTCATTTGAAAAAAAAAAGTTTTTAATTGGTATTTTATTTTACAGCATTGCTCAAAGTTTTCATTAATCCGCAGAAAACGGAGTTCTCTGCTGCTAATCACACAATATCAAACTGAAATAAACATTAAAGCTGTTGCAAAAGGTTAAAAGGTCGGCATGTGGCAGATGTCCACAGATCAACAAGAGGCTAACACCTTCACCTTGCAAAGTAGATTGCACAGTAGATTTAAGCGCTGTATTTGTTTATTTGCGATACAATTTTTGAAATTGCACCAATGTTTGGTCAGGTACCAGTAATATATGACTTTTATGTCTTTAAATCTGCTAAAATTCATCTCAGTCTGATTTATGATCAAAGATATGAAAGGCATCAAAGTGTGCCATGTTGACCTTTAGGCAATCATTTACAAGTCAGTAATCATTTTAGAAGGAATCAGTCTCATAAAACTTTACCAGAAAACAGAATAACTTGGTTATGTGACACTGATTACAAAGAAAAAGACCACCACTTCTAAGAATGTGAACGAACTGAACTTTAAAGGGCATGGCATTTAAAAAAGGTTTTAGTTAAGAAGTTCAGGTTCTAGACAAATGTTTTACTTTCAGGTCATTTTTTACTGAACTGAACCACTAGGACCTCGGATACCTACCTTTTCCATACATGACAGCAGCTCTATATATATTTTTATAAAGTTTTTCATTCATTTTCAGTATTCGAGGTTTGAAGTTGCATTTGTCTCTACATACCCTAAAACACACACCTCTGAACCGGCATAAACAAAAACGTCAGATAGGACACTTTTGCCAGACTGAACAGTTCAATCATCTCACTTACTTTTAAGAGAATTGTATTACATTTTACTTTAAACATACTTTAAGAAGTTTATAGTGCAGTAAATAAAAATCAAATAAAGGTTGCATGGCAGATGTCTTCTTTGACAACACAATTATTATGTAGGAGTAATGGATAATAGTTACTGATTTGTGAATAATTGCAAATGAATAACTTGAGCTTATATTACAGTTTTCTACTACAGTATATTTCTAACTAAATCGTCAGCTCATTCTTTTTCTTTAGACAATATTTTCTTAAAATATATCACAAAATTTGGGTTAACTTGAAAAAGATGATGTTGGATGTAAAAATTAGATCAGAGGTCAAATGTAACATGATATTTGGATGCAAACTATAATGGGAGATTTAGAATCCCAAAATGTTGTCAGTGCAAACAAAGGCAGCAGAACTGTAAACACAGATATAAAGATAAAAAACATTTTATGAAAGTTGACCTAATAAAAGCTTGACCTTATTTGACCTTGAAGAGAGGTCAGAGTAACACGATATTTAAAAATCCCAAATATATTTTCCTTTATATTTATATGTTGTCAACGTAAACAATGGCAGTTAGAAATACAGTTTTATATAGCTCTATATAGCACTATTATCACTTTGGGCTTTTGATCACTTTATTGACCTTGAAGGAGAAGGTCAAAGGTCAATGTGACATGATATTTTAAATCTGTATAAGGTACTTTCTGTATTTTGACAATGTACAGCACACTTGTAAGAATCATAGTTTCTAGCTTGTCAGGTTACAAGGCTTTATTCAATGAATGACTTTATTTGTCTTTTTAAAATCTAAAGTAACAAAGTCCAGTTTGAATAAAAGCCGCACACCAATGGCTCAAAATAGTTAGGGAAAGGACTAAACATTAAATATGTCCAGGAGTTTGACCTGAGAAAGGTTTTTTTTACTCCAGCACTTGTCTACTTAGTGAAGCATTGTAAACAGTGCTCATCACAAGGTCAGAAATAGGGAAAAACAAAAAAATTACAAAATAGGGTCAAATAAGTAACATAGAGCAACCCAAACAGACAAACACTGTACCTCTATGACACAGACCGAGAGCTTACTGTAGTATCATGGATATCACTGAACTGCCTTTCAGATCATAGAACTTTTAATTGTATTCAGTTGCAGGAAAATATTTGTGAAGCCTTTGGTATTAACATGATTTCTGTATTGATTACACATGAAAAGGTCCGATGTTCTTCTTAATGGATGAACAACTATAAGTTAAAATACACTTCTGTAAACTTCCAGTTTTGTGCATTTCTATTATGCTTCCTCTAAAATCCTGTGAATGTTATGTGTGAGCTATGGTTTACATTTTTCATCATCTCTGCATAGTAATATAGGGCTGCCTTTCACTCTATGACAGCTGGGATACACTCCAGGTTCCCACAACCCCAAATTGGATAAGCAGAAGAAAATGGATGAATCCCCAAAGTTTCATCTTCCCCTTTCATTTTAAAATAAAAGAATACAAGTTTTATGAAATTTAAGTTCATATGAAATATCAGAAGTATACATTGCTACTAGCAACAAAATTAATATCTTTCTAAAATAAAAAATACTATAGAAAAAAGTTATATTACAATGTTTATCTATATAATTCATGAGAATTATTTATTTAATAACAAAAATTTAAAAAATTAACTAAATTACCATTTATTATTTTAGGTGTGACTACATTATCTTAAAGTATAACAATACATAATAATAAGGAACATTTTTATGATGCTACGTTTGCTGTATGAATGCATCCTCAGGTAATTTAGTTTAGATACAGTATTGTTACAGTATTGTACTGAGTATTAAGGCAGCCCTTATCTGTTTACTATTTGTTTCACACTTTACATTTTGTTGTTTTCACTGAATTCAGGGTGTTTGGGATAACCGACATGCTGAAAAGTGAAGCTCTTGCCAATCAGATGTTTTTAAAATGGTATTGCATGGTGGGTCAGAATCTGATGCTATTTTTCTGCCTTCATAATTTTATTAAATCTGACAAGATCACTGGCTGAAATTAAATGCCAAACCATGACAGAGCCTCCACAGTATGTTAGAGGTTGCTGTAGGCATTCACTGTTGCACCCATCTCCCGATATAATATAAAGATTTTACATTTGGATTCATTCATAAAACTGAGTTTCAGTTCAGTTCTTGTTTAATTTGGCATAGCTCACCCCTTTCTGCCCATTTCCCGTCCTTAAAAATGGCTTCTTGACAGCCATCCTTCGACTAAGACCACATATGAGTCTTTGGTAAGCACATGAATCAGTTGAAGGCCCAGATGCATCTCTTAGGTCTTGTGTCAGGTCTTTCCTGGATTGTTTTCCTGTTTCTTAAGGACATGACTTTCTGACACTGTTCATCTGCTGTAGATTTTAAAGCCTGCCTCTTCTTCTTACCTCTTCTTGTCCAGTTTCCTCAAAATATTTAAGAGCATATTGCATTATATCAATACATGCCAAATTTCTGGCTTCAGGCTCTTTGGAATTAAGGTTGGTGGCAAAAAATACAATTTCATGCCAGTCAGACTGCGTCACCTTTGGAATTTTCCATTGATTCAATTACAGAAATGGGAATAATTTCCATTGAATATGACAAACTGCAAGTAACACAGTCTCTAAATATATAATTTCAAGTTGGTTCTGTTATATGTACACAACACTGGATCGTTCACTGAGTTCTTTTTTATGCTTTAATGATTCTTGAATCAGTGTTAGGTGACACATTTAAAAAAAAAAGAAAGTCCTGTGAAAATGGTCAGGTACAAGGACTGGACTGAAAATGAGCAAAAAAGCAGAAGGTTGTCCAAAGCAAAACTTTGAAAGACCTCCAGCCTGGAAAACTAGACCTGGACTTTTGCACAGTACTATATATATCTTAAGAATAAGATAAAAATCAATAGACATCCTATTTTTGTTTAGTTTTCAACTACAGGAAATAATTTCAATAATTCTCAATAATTCCATCTGCAAACCTAAATTCATGCAAGTTATGCTTGACCCCTTGAATGCACGATAATCACTGATCAGTAAATCAGTGAACACATGAGGTTAAAAGGCTAGCAAATGCTGCAGATTGATCACTATTTGTTTCTGCCCAGACATTCTCTCCTTGGCGCCACGGAAACTGGAGAACAAATCTTGATGCTTGTATAGAATACAATATGCTGCTCACCCTTCTTTGCGACTTCCTAATATCAGGACAACTATTACACACAAACACAGAAATATTTAGATTCATGTGTTAAAAATTAAGCTGTAACCTCTGATGTGCACTCGTTAAAACAATCTTCTTTAGATGTAAATCTTAAATATGTCATGAATGTCGTCAGTAACTCACAGGAGTTGCCAATTAATCATTCGTCACATATTTAATGATTCTCATAATGCCACCACTATGAATTACATTTGGAGACAACTACACATGCGTGTCTTTTTTTAAATTTAGATATATTATTAAACAATATGTGGCAACCATATCACCGTATCCCTGTTTTAAAGTCTTAATGTTCATAAATTCATGAGGTTATCTGTAGCTAGAAGTCACAGAAGAGGTTAGCAAGGTGGATCCATGTATCGTGCACACACTCTGATTAGTACCAAACAGAAAATACTACAATTTCAATAACAAAGACTGAAGCACAAACAGGTTGCTGTCCATCTGGCTAAACAGCAAGCAGTAATATTTGTCAGATAGCATACATGGTCGAGAACTCTGTGATTCACTTGAGAAGAGATGAAGCTTGGCAGATAGCTGCTAGCCACAGCTACTGTGACACAAGTATAAACAGATAACT